TCACGCCCATTCGTGTCGCCGTGGAGTGCGCCGGAAAACGGCAAAAGGGCACGTTGAATTCTAATCGATGACACGTGACGTTGCGTGCCAACCAGTCACGTGTTACGGTTGCGGTCACTCACCGGACTTTGTAATCTCACTAATTCTGAAGAACTGGAAGAGCGTTGGGTGCAGACCATACATCACAAATAACGACGGCTTTCACAACATGTAAATGCCTGCCAATGAAATGATTAGCCTGTTGCAGCTGTTTTAATCAATTGTCACTAATTACAATTATCATTTACCAAAAATCGCCTATCACTATGAACCAGACTCATTTGCAGGCGTCGTCCCTTATGATGTATGGTCCGCACCCGATGCTCTCCTCGTTTTTTGAAAAGGAGGGTATCTTTTAAGGGTGTAGGTCATTAGGCAGAGGCGCATTCACAGTCGGTCGTCCATCGTAACGATCATAACGAGCACAGCATTAGATGTGTATCGATCGTTGAGCATGACAGACAATCCGACGATCGCTCCGGATTGTCTGTCATGCCCGACGATCGCTAAGTACTTGATACTGTACGATCGTTACGATCGTTATGATCGGACGACGACAATGAATGCGCCCGGACACAAACTGTGAAAAGAGGGGGGGGGCGAAATTTTTTTCGTCGTGGGAACCCCAAGTCCACCTTTAATCCCCTCGGCCTATTCCCACTTCGGAGCTGTTCACCCTCTAGTCAAACGTAAGAAGTGTGACTGAACAAAAACTCACCTCGGAAAACCGCCAAGCAGGGAGCTGACGTGGGCGTGGTCGGAATCGGCCAAGGGGATTGCAGTCGTTTCCGACCACGCCCAACTTGCTGGGACTGTTGCTTCAATCATGGTGGACTGGGATCCTTGCAGGATAAAAAAGTTGCGCTGCGACAAGCAAAAAAGATGCATTCTCCCCTGGCGACCCATACCAACGTTTAATTGGCTCACGAGGCCTTCTATGTTCCGATATCTCGATGCTCTGATGCTATGGATACCGCGGGGAGAGGGCACGGACAAGCAAACGAAAAGCGCCATTTACCGTCCTCCTTTCCCGCTACAACATTAGCACAGAGACCTTATATTGTTTGCAAAATTTTCTCGATGCTCCGGATTGACGAAGAGGAGCCTTATTTTTTCTGACGATAACCTTCCACACGTATGACACTGTGTCGACACCCATGGCACCGTCACGCGACCGCGTCACGCGAGGACAGGCCCACGCCCCCTGTTGGAGTGATGCACTAGAAACGGGGGTCAAGTATTCATTGACGAAACCTCAATGCTGAAGATCGTATTTGACCTGTAGGACGAGAGGGTCTCATTGGAGGGGTCAGTATGGAAAATATGACATCTAAGAGGTGCCGCCAATGGTTATTTCCAGTTTTTCTCGGTTCCTGGGCCCGGATTTTGCCGAGATTTTCCTCTTCTCGTTTCATGTTCCCGACATCCCCAGCCACCTCCTCAGTGAAATATTCGAAAGAAGGGTCCCATTCGAGGAAATTATTCGAGAAAATGAAATTCGGCGCTCAGGCCCTGGGGGGGGGGGGATGACGACATTCAAAACAGGGCATTCAAAGCTGCTGGAAGGTGACACTGGACTAATGGTAAGCTCAAGGGTGGGGAGGAACGCCTGGGAAAACAAAAATTGCTGACTGGCAGAAGAGCAGAACCACTTCCCCTCCTTGAAGCTTAGCCCAAGTACTGTGAGTACCCCCACTCATTTTAATGTTCCCCCCCCTCCCAACGACATGAGCGTCGAAAATTTCCCAAATATATGATCCTGTTTAAGAGTTTTGCAGGATGTTTCACAAAATCGAAACTGCAGTATAGCATAATTGCATAATGGTGGGCATGACAACCGATTACGTGCCTTGAGGTCCTACCACGATTTGACACTGAATCGTATAACATATGATGGTGCTATTCGAGTGCGCTCCCAAGATTCAGCGCTCCGTTATTTTCCGTCAGCAACGTGCTGGAATGACGCCGATTCAGAGCGGTTTGCTGAAAATCGGATAGCCGTTTGCAGCTCGCTACTTGGGTGAGCCATTGTTTGAGTTATTACGACGACAACGACGATGACAACGGCGACTCTTCGAGGTGACGGAGCGATCAGCAAGTCGACGGATCGATTGATCAATAACCAAGGTCAATGCAACAGATGACCGCTTTCGCGCGCGCGCCCCCAGCCGCCCGCATTCCCCGTCGGTACCCGTGCCTCTACGATCACATCGCGTCTATGCTTCATCCTCCTTGTACCACTTAAAGATCTCTTTTCAACGTTTCACTCTTCATCCCTTCTCACCATAGGCGAATGACGCTTCATGCAACAAGCGCTCGTGTTCGGCTACAGAAAATCGCCGAATCTCTGCAGAAAGCTCCTCAAGATGCTGCAGTTATATTGCTGCTTTGTACATCTCATGGTGTAGTAAGTGATAAGAGCGAAGACGAGCAGCGAAATGCTCACCATCACATTACAAAGTTAAAGGGGCCGATATATGCTAAGAGTGAAGGTCCCACCCCAAAAAAAAAAAAAAAAAAAAAAAAAAAAAAAAAAAAAAAAAAAAAAAAAAAAAAAAAAAAAAAAAAAAAAAAAAAAAAAAAAAAAAAAAAAAAAAAAGGGTAAAAAAAAAAAAAACCAAAAAAAAAAGGTTCTAATAAAGTGAGAGTTGTTAGCCTCATAAGTTGGGTTCTCCTTGATTAACTGTTGATAGCCTTCATAAGTTGGGTTCTATTTCTTTATGGATCAAGGTTGTAGAAAGAAGTTGAGGTAATTCGTTGCCGTCGTCGTTCATTTTAGCCGAAAAATGCACCCGTGCTAATTTATGG